GGCTCCGTTTACCTCTGTGGTCATGGCTACACCAGTTTTGTCTGCTCAGGAAATGTCCAAGTCTGGTCTCTGTTTGTTTCTGAGTCTAAGGACCTGGAGCAGCACCTGACCACAGAAGCTACTATCAAGGTTTCGCTCTGCAACAGGCACCTGTTGCTGCTGTCCAGGCCGTCCTGGCGGGAGGGTGGTGCAGCGGGCAGGATGTTCATCCCCTGGAGTCTCACCTGTGACTCTTACATGGCAAAAGGTGCTGTGCAAATGGAGTTAAAGCTCTGGGCCTTAAAGTCAGGAGGTTATCTTAAATCATCCCAGTGGACCCAGTATAATCACTTGGGCCCTTAAAAACAGAACGTGTTCCGGCTGCAGTCAGTCAGAGAGACCCAGTTCAGAGAGATGTGAAGCATGAAAAAAGTACTCAGATGCCTTTACTGGCTTTGAAGGTGGAGGACGGGGCCATGAGCCAAGGCTCGTGGGCAGCCTCTAAGGTGAGAATGACCCTCCAGGTGACAGCCAGCAGGAAACAGGGACCTAGGCCAACAGCCACATGAAGCTGAGTCCTGCCAACAGCCTGAGAGAGGCTGGAAGTGGACTTGCCCCCAGAAGGGAACACGGCCCTGCCGACACCGTGATTCTGGCCTTGTGAGACCCAGGGCTGAGACAGCAGGCAAATTCCCTGGGTTCTGGCCTACGGAACTGTGAGACAGTAAGAGCGTTGTTTTATTTTCTTTTTCCAATTTTGTCTCACTTACTGGAGCTATAATGGACATGCAACACTGTGTGAGTTTGAAGTATACAACATGGTCATGGTTGTATCTATGCATGTGGTGCAAAATGACTCCCACAATAAGGTTAGTTAATAAACAAGTTATTTTAGTTAAACTGCTGAGTTTGTGATACCTTGTCACAGCAGCAGTAGGAAACTAGAACAGGTAGATGGAGAACACACAGACAGAAGACTGTCTCCCAGAGAGGGAGGAAAATATTCCTGAAACATGTCATATGTGAGGTGGCAGCAAGTCCCATGGGAAATACAAGCAATGAAGGAGGGCAGGGGTGCAGTTCTAAATGAGGTAATCTGGAAAGGCCTAATTTAGGAGACCCGAGGGCTGTGCAGGAAGAGCATCCCAGAAGGGGCCATTGCATGTGCAAATGTCCTGGGGCAGGGATGTGCCTGCAACACCCGAGGAGCAGCCAGGCGGGCAGTGTGACTGGACAGGGCAGAGGGCCGAGGAAAAGACCAGATAAAACAGTGCTCAAGGCCATTTAAGGCCTTTGACTTTTACTCTGAGCTAGGAAGACATGACGGGGAGGGGGAGAAAAGAAATGACATAATCTCGTTTATGCTGGCAAAGGACCCATCTGCTTGAGATGGGAGAACAGAACGTGGGTGGGCAAAGGAAAGAAACAGGAGATGGCTTAGGGCAATATTAAAATAATTCAGGTGAAAAGCAACAGGGGGTTGGAAGTGGCAAAAAGAGGAAAAAGCAAGATACACTTTAAAGGAAAGAGTTACCGAATCAGCTAACATATCGGATGTGAGCTGGAGAGGAAGAAGGTGGCTGAGCCAGGCATCTGGACGAGCTGTCTGCACTTCCTGGGTTGGCGAAGATTCTGCAAGGACCCGGCTTCTGGGGAAAGAGCAGCAGTTGGGATGCTGCTGACATGTCAGAGCTGAGAGGCCCACGAGGGCTCTTTGTGGGGAAGCTGAGCAGACAGCTGGCCGCACAAGTCAAGAGCTCACAGGAATGGTCCACAGTGAGGACGTAAGTGCTCAAGTCACCAGCACGCAGATGTCACCCGGAGCTTGGGCTAGTGACACGGTGGCCTGGAGAGCGTGTGTTGGTGGAGAAGCAGTGGAGCATGACTTCCTCGGGCGCCGCAGGGTCTGGAGTTTGAGGAGGTGAGGAGGGCCACCCAGAGGAGCAGCCACAGCCGCGAGGGGACATGGGGAGAGTGCTTCTGGGAGGGGTGATGGCCAAGGGGTGACCACAGGGCCTCGTGGGACCTGTTCACCTCGGCAGGAGCAGCTCCATGGGAGCAGCTGGCTTTCAGGAACGGACAGGCTCAAATGTTCCCTGTGTCCCTTGTAAACCAG